CACTCAGATTCAGCAGTCTCTTGATGGCGTGGTCGAGTATCTGCTAAACAATACGCCGCTGAACTGGCTGGTAGGACCCTTCTTCCCTCAAATCAAAGAGAAGACAGAAGAATCGGTGATGCTGGAGCATGATGGAGCAAAGTAGACTTTTTATACCCTGAGTGAATAATCACTGCAGTGATAGAAGACTATGGTTTAATATATCATCCAATGAACTACATGTTTTGTTGTTAAATTACAGCTGATGGCACTGCAAACAATTTCTGTTTTTTTTTTCTCTTTTTGAATGTAAAGGAAAACGTGTTTCATGTCAAATCAAATATGAATTAGCATTTAGCATGATTTTAACAATTTAAAGAAAGTCATTTCCAGGTTCTTTTTTAATTTATCACATTTCCTCCTTCCATCTCGAGTTATGTGATCAGATTATCAGTTAGTTTTAATTGCATTCAATTTGAATCTGCTAACCGTCCAGTGTTGACTGTCCATCTTAAATGTTCATGAAAATAGTCAATAACCGTTTTATCAATAAATGTACATCAAGTGTTATGTGTCTTCTTGGTCTTTTCATCATTGCTATAATAATCAAATTAAAGAAACATAAGGTGTTCAGGTGATTTTTGGGTCACAAAGGTCACACATACAATATACATAGTAGTAGCGGCTCTCTGCCCCATCAGTTTTGGAGTCTGTCAGAAAAGAATTGAAGACTGCTTTAGACTGAAAGTATTGGCAGAAAAAAAGGATTTTATTGCTGCTTTTATTTGAGCTTTTTGTATGTGTGTGTGAGAGAGAGATAGAGGGTGTGAATATGTGTGAGAGGGGGAGATGTGATAGTCTGTCTGACTCGTTGCTAGAAATGACGTCATGCTCGTTGTTTCCAGTATCGGGAGCTAAAAGCTGTGTTAAAGGCCGCTGTCTGCCGAGGACACAACTTGTCCAAATTTAAAGTCCAGGATCGTCGACAGCCACCGGTACCTTGACTCCCAGGTAAAGTAGTCACTGTCTATTTATAAATATCGTTCTCATGGCTAGATGACCGGTTTAAAAGCCGCCAGTGCGTGGACAGGACACTGCTGGGGAGACTGTTGGTTTAAGATGATAATGCTAGCGGCTCTGCTAACGTTAGCTGCTAACAGTAGCTTTTTATTCGATCGAAGAGACAGCGATTTGTGATTTTGTCACAAAATAAGCCTAATTGTTGGTTTATGTTGTTTTCCTCGCACTGATAAGACACCGATCTAGTTTGTCCTTGTTTTGTCCTATTCGTTGGTGGTGTCAGACAAACAAAACCGTCCAGCTGGGCTGTTTGCTAATGTTACAGTATTTGCGTTCAGCAGCGAGAGACAATTGTTTTCTGCTGCAGACGAACCCAAACTGTAGACAATCACTTTATAAATTGTAGCCAAATAAGTGATACAACTTGAATTTATGGTTGAGGCCAAGTTATTATTTTTATGCAGATGTCTTTAGACTTTTTGTTGGTGGTGTTCTGGTAACTTTTCTCTAAACAAAAAAGGCTGCGCCGTGGAAGAAAGCTGAAAAGCAGCAGAGCAAGCTTTAAAACAACAACAACAAAAAAAAACCCCAAAACAAAACAGACAACAAGTTGTTTTTTACACGAATTCCAGTGACTGGTAAATGTTTTTTTTTCTTTTACCTTTATTATAAATATATAATAATAGTAATACAACTGACACACATTTACTTTCCTCGTGGAAAGAATGGGACATTTTTGTCGACCAGTTGTATTAATTATTAATCGTAATTAAGAATTAAATAAGAAATTAGTAATGCCCAATTATTTTGCAACATAACAACATAACAATACATTTTCCAAAATCGATAGGTTTTCATAAAGAACAAGCTAATTAGCTTCGTAGAGGTTTATAAAAACGGTGCCATTTTAGCTTCCTAGCTTGAGAGGCTAAATTGAAACGAATGTTGTTTGTTACAAATACTTAACGAAAACGAAAGATATTTAGAGAAAAAAAATATCCCCAGTGGCTTTATTAAACGTATCAAAAAGTCCAATGTGAAAACAATCCGTGCTCTCTGTGAAATAGCATTGGTGAAGAATTTAAAACTTCTTAGTTGTCAGTTAATGTCAAAGCAATTTAAAACTTCTTAGTTGTCAGTTAATTGTCAAACAATGTCAAAGCTAAAAAGATTATTAACCCCGGTTTTAGTTGTTAGTATTACTCTTCCCAAAGGAGTAGGTTAGGTTGTGAAACTTGAAGCAGTTAAGCTTGAAAATATTTGTAGCAAGTGAAGTGTGTAGGCTTTAAGGCTTTACAGTAGCATTAGAGCACAGTAAAGAGGCAAAGACAGCCTGGAGCACTGATACCAACTCTGCTTTATATTATAATACATAATGAAGCCTTAAAAATATATATCATCAATAACTGGCAACACTAAAGGAAGGTTCTGGAGGCCAGGGTCCAGTAAAATATCACCAAGTTGACCACCACAAAGTTTTCTGTGAAGAAACTTTTTAGAGTCATCATAACACATCCCTTGCTTGTTTGATTAATGCTGCTCGCCAACAGATAAGGTCAAGGATAACAACTTGGCTATTACATGTTATGTTCTGTATATTTTTCACCTGACTCTCCTCTCATGCTCAAATAGTCATAAAAAACGGGGCAATTGAACAACAATAACTTTTTATATTGGATTAACTTTACGATCCCATTTTCAGGACCATCCTCTCCCACCCCCCCTTACCCCTTCAGTCAGAATATGGCTCAGGAGACCAATCAGACGCAGGTACCGATGCTTTGCACTATGGGATGCGGTTTCTATGGTAACCCCCGCACCAATGGCATGTGCTCAGTCTGCTATAAGGAACACCTGCAGAGACAACAAGGAGGGGGGCGAACAAGCCCCCCAGGAGAGAAGGGTAAGAAGATGGAAGGGATTCAACTGCTGGGTGGGGGGGGGAAGCTGGATGCGGGTACAAAGAACATACAGAGATGTGTGGGCAAAAATGACCTAAAGGTGATGTTAGAGTGTGTAGTTTCTGCCTATATTGCTTTAGAAACTTAGGGGGCAGGGCGATGACATCAGTCCTTTTTCGACAGTCTCTTCATAGCAGGATTATTATGCCGCTGTTAAGCTTTGTTCTGTGTACTGTAAAGGGTGTGATTGCAGGTTATTGATACAACCATTTCCTCGTCTTTATTAGCATTATAGGTAGCATCACAGTTACAATTCTGCACCATGTAACCATGACCAGTCATGTTGAATCGGGATCAGAAGGGTGTGACGCACTGGGGACGTGACCAATAGACTGTACAAAACAACTCAAGAAGCCATCCATAACTCAAAGCCAAATCCCGGAAGCAGACCAGCAGCAACTCGCTACTCATTTGTAAATAAATCTGTTGAAATGTTGATACTTTTCTGTTTCTAACTTTTCTGTTTCTAAATAGATAGATAGATGTATAGATAGCACTTTATTAATCCTTCGGGAGTTCCCTTTGGGAAATTTGGGCTCCAGCAGCAGTACAGCACCAAAAACAACAGTAAAAAAAAACACATGAATAGGTAAAATACATGAGTAGCAGCACACTGTCAATGAAAATGGGAAACCTAAACAGTGTATGCTAATCTGATATTAGTAGATATTATATATATATATATACACACACACGTATAGATATATAGATATATATACACACACACGTATAGATATATAGATATATATACACACACGTATATATATACACATATATATACACATATATATGCATATACGTACACTGTGTATACCACATCATCTCTATGGTATGTATATGTATATATATATACACATATATATACACATATATGTATATATATATACTGTATATATGCATATGCATATATACAGTATATACGTACACTGTGTATACCACATTATCTCTATGGTATGTATATGTATATTTATGCTAACTAGTGTAATTAAAAGGATGTTATGTGGACAGGTATATAAATAGTTTAAATATATGAACAGTATAAATAGTTGAGTAATGAAATAATTCATAGGCAGTTCTGGCAGATATGTTAGTGTATGGGGTGTCAACCATGTTTATACGACCGTTATTACTAGGAGCTGCTATACATACGTAATATAATATAGGATAGATAGTCTTGGGTCTTCTTCTATCAAGCACAATATATTATTGTTTAGTCAAGTTTACGTGAAAAAAAATGTCATAGTTGATAGTTGGGTTGTGTAACAAATGCCTCGTGGCCAGTGATCATCTGTTGTATTGCTGTTGTGATGGCATGAATAATGCAATGTTACCCTTAATTGATTATCCAGCTGTTGACATTGTGTCAACAGCTGGGCATATGGTGCTGAGACGTAATGCATTTTATTTCCATTAGGGCAAAAGATGTTGTTTTTTTTTGTTTTTTTTAATGCAACATTCTCTCCCAATTCCAAACATTTTATTCACGTCAAAACACTGCTTGCCTATGACTTGTCTGGCCCCTGCTTTGTACTGCAAACACGCAACACTTTATAGACGAGTGTGTCAAACATACGGCCCGCGGCCCAGGACCGGCCCAGTAGGGTGTTTAATCCGACCAGCAAGGTAGCTGATACTTGGTGTCTTGATTCAGCGCCTCTGTTGATGCTGCTCCAGATGGTACTCCATCTGTCCTGAATTCTGTCTTTGATGCAGATGGACAGTTGAGTATTTATGTCCTGGTTTTGTTTTATAGGTCAAATCCACCGTATTGTTACTGCTAAGAAAACGTACAGAGAACTAAATCACGGAATTCCACTTTTGTTTAACTTGGACGTGGCCTAAGACATTTGTATTCACTGGTGTTTGTGTTTACACCAAGACTCCGTTGGTCATGGTGTTTACTCAGTTACTGACTCAGTGTCTCTGTCTGTTGTGGTCAATGTACGCTGCTACACAATGTGTAGGGGAAGTTCTACAAGTAGTTTAACTCCACACCTCTCTCTATTTTCTGTCTGGTTTCACTTCCTCTAAATTTAGCTGAGTGTAAACTTCCTGTCAAGGATCTTCTTCAGTAGGATGCATTCCTCCCGGCACATTTTGACACCCGAGCAGTCACACCTGTACAGACAGTTTCTCATCTTGAAAATAACAAATGCTCACTATTTCCCCCCATCACCTCTGGGCTGCTGTGTTCTCTCCCTGGCTCTCTGTTGACAGAGCCTGGCACGACGGCCAAAAAGAAGAGAAAAATGACAAAGTGAGGGCATAGGAGGAGCCGGGAAAGTGCTGACTCGCATCCAGTGCTGGACAGCGCCTTAATTGATCACTCGTTCAGGAGGAAGAGAATGGGGAGGGGGATGGACTGGGTGGAAGAAACTGGGGAGGGTTAATGGAGGAAAGAGGGCCGTACTGGGTATTTCATGCGATTTATGAGGGACAGAGGCGGGGGAAGATGGGCTCTCAGACGAGCGTTACTCAGTCACAAACATCAGATGAAAGGCCACCGACGTTTATCACAGCACAAGAAGAAAGACCTACACTGTGGACACTGCCAGGAATTAGAGAAATATTTTCATGCAGCTATTTGTGCAGTAAGTGTTGGGGGCTGTGTCGGCCGTGTGTGGCCTTCAGTGTGTCACTCAGTCAGTGTGCCACACTGAGTGAAGAGTCAGCAGTGTATTTATAGTGTTGTGCTGGTCCTCATTCAGGGCGAGCATGACTCCCAGTTTGATGAGCTGACTCTCTTTCGCTCCACGTTAGGAGAAATGTGCAGGGCCAGCAATCTAGCAGCACTTAGATTTACTGTGTTCACTCAGACGGAATAAAAGAATGTGTGTAAAGACCACGGTGTGTTTGTGTGTCTTTGGGTAAAATGAGCTTCAGCGTTTGTGTATGTTCCTTGATCAATCAGCAGTTGTTTTTTTGTTTTGTTTTTCCCCTCCCTCATCCTGCTCTCATTAAATAACAAAGCATGGTAATTTACCCACATGGTCATTTCTCAGAACCTTAGTGGAGGCACATTAGTGCCTCATGCAGATTCATGAGTGTGGAATTGGGACGCTGATATGTAACTTAAAAAGATTTGCTGCAAAGAATACAGATGAACCAGAGGGGAACCGTACAGGCCGGGCTAAAGACGACTAAACAGGGCAGGAAATGTCAAACAGAAAAACCAATTGGAAGATCCATTCTGAACATTAACGTTGGTGTGGCATAGCATTTACCTATGTCTATATTTTAATCAAATGCAGATGCATTCACCCTTGTGCATAGACACCTGTTCTGTCATAGGGTCCCAGCCTGCTGTGCTGTGTGTTCACATCCTGACATCCTGCGGCGGAGGCTGATCAATGCCTTTTAATTACCAGGGGCCCAAAGCGCTGGTCGATACAGCTGATGAGGAGCAGAGAGGAGAGGGAATGAGAAAGAAGGCAAGGGGAAGAGGAGGGGGACAGAGATTCTCCAGGCGGTGATTGATGCTCATTCCACCCAGAGAGTCTATACCTACAGATGTGTTGTTAGGCTTGGTTAATCCTATGAAGCTACATTCGTTCACTTTAAAGGCCGCAGTTTAACTGGACCAGCCGCCGCCGTCATGAGGTTAAGTGGGCAGTAGGTGTCCCCCCTCCATAACACAGGCCAATACGTCAATGGTGGCTTTAGAAGACCCTACAGACCCTAGGTAGTTAGCTTCTAAGTGTTCAATATTTGTATGCAAGCATTACATTTTGTTCTTTTATATATATATATATATATAAATTAACTTCCTGAGATCGTGGCTGTGCTGTCGTCGTAACAACACCAACTAATTCACCATGTCGCTCTCTTTTCAACCGAAGGCTTCGACTGCCGCTGCGGCAACCTGTTCTGTGCCATCCACCGCTATTCTGACAAACACGACTGTCCCTACGATTACCGGAGTGCAGCGGCGGCCCGCATACGCAAGGAAAACCCCATCGTCGTGGCTGAGAAAATTCAGAAGTTATGAAGAAAAATCGCAACGGGGGAAAGAAAACAAAAAAAAGATTCCTTGCAGATTTTGAACAATGGCGACTTGAATGAAAACACCTGATGTCATGGCTTCATTTGATCATGGTAGATGTTGACGGGCGGGTCGGGGGGGGGGCAGGGGAGGTCGCAGTCGCCGTCCTGACACTTCCCGTACTAGGCTCTCCCTTTCTTTCTGCTCATGACCGGCTGAACCAAATTGCGTGCGAGTGTGAATGGTGTTGGCAGGGAGGCCTTGTGTGTGTGTGTGTGTGTGTGTGTGAGAGTGTGAATCTGATGGCGAGTTGTGGGGTTTTGCGACCTCTTAGGTATGCATCTTAAAAGAGAGGCTGTTCTTTTCAATCTCCCAGTATTTTATTTTTTCTCTATTGGGGCTGTTGTGTTTTTACTAATAGGGTCCCTGTAGGAGTGGTGGCTGAAATGAGACGGGGGATGAAGTCTGAGGAGATGAACCCAAGCTGGGCTGCGTCCCCTCTGAGGTCGGTGTAGATGGTCTTTAAAATCTGACCGCTAGCTCCCGTAAATCAGTGAGCTTTAGAAATCTAAATCTTAAAGCAAACGTCGTAAATTGGCATTTTCTCCATTACCTCCGCGAAACCGTTGTTCTATGGCTCAACACATGAAAATCTTGAAAATTAGCTTTTTTTTTTTAATATGTCTTTTTTTTATTATTTTATTCCTTTTGGTTTTTAATGAGTGTATGACATTATAAGATCTATATTAATATATTGTGGTTAGCTTGAATTGTGTGATTGCATTCTATTTATTTTATGGTTTGGTTGGTCTGTGCTGGAGGATCGGCAGCATGTGTCGGCAGATCGGTTGAGATTTGCATTTGAACTTTTCGATTATACTTAGGTAATTTCATCACGATTGCGTAACCTTTAAAAGATATACAAGCTCTGGCATTACTGATAGGAGTCCAATAATAGGCAGATGCAATTATGACGTCGCGTAAACACTTTTGGAAGTAAGCACAACTGTGTGTCGGCTGTAGAGCACAAGACCGTGTGCCGCACGTGCTCAGTTTTGTTCCGCCGTCTTGGTCGTTTTAAGAGTTTCTATTTAGCCTTTGCGAGAGGAGGAGTTGTTCGATCAAGTTGACATCTCTCTAAATGCATTTTTCTGTTCTAAAGAGAGACCCACGTGAAGCTCTGTGTTTCTCTAACCACCAGCAGACCACTGCAATGTGCTGAACTGAACTGGGTCGGAGTTGCGATCAGCCGGCTAACGTAAGACTGTCTCGAAGCTACACAGCCGTGTGCTGTAGTTTTTCCTTTTCTTTCTTTCTTTTCCTTTAAGTTTGTGCTCCAGATCGGAGGAGCACTGGACTTGAGGGCCGCTTCTTGTGGTAAGCTTCTTCCAGGAAGTCCGATCCCACGTGCATGTGTGCAGACCGATTTTCTTCCTGTACCGATTGTCAAATGAAGCTGGAATGTTTTGGGTTTTTTTTGTTGTTTTTTTTAAAGCCTCACAGCAGTAGCACAATGCATGGCTCAAACCTCAAGGTTAAGTTAACAGGACTCTACAGTGTTTTCTTCCAAATGTAAATAGCATATTGCTCCTTTTCATATAGTATAATTTTATTGTAGATTTCTGCCAGGTAATGTGGGGACATACGGTAAAAGACTAGAACCATGTGTATAACAGTGCTTATCAATTTTCCAAAAAAAAATGAATGTCTGGATGGCCACATTTTTCTTTTTATTTTCCTGAAATTTCTTTATAATCATCTGCCCCTTTTTTTTTGTCAAAATCTTATGGTTAACTTGTGTTTTATTTTTTCCCCCTCTCTTTCAAATATTACTTGGCCTGATTATTAACTCGCCCCCATATAAGATTTATTAACCCTGCCGACAGTGCATAATTCTATTAATAGCATAGCAACCTAACTGAAAATTACAAAGTTTCATGTAAAATGTAGACACATTACTGAGGGTCCTTTTGATTATCAAAGCCTTTTTTTTTATTGTTAAATTTGAAGTCAGAGGGATTCAGTTGTGTGTGTGTGTGTGTGTGTGTGGGTATATGTTGTAAAGAAGTGAATGGTTTTGGTACACAGATTCTTGTATAAACAGATTATCATGTTGAACCCAGGAGTGTGAATTAACTTTGAAACCCCCCTAACTCTGATTTACCACAGGTGTACTAGTCAAACTGAGCTAAAGTGGAGTGACATTTATATCCAGTGACCACGGTTGTCATTCACAGGGGTCGGACTGTGTTGTGAGAGCGGCTCTCATATTTTAACTTGTTTCTGAAAACAATGGTGATTTTCAACCTTTTTTGTTTTTTTTTTTTTTTTTAGCAAAAGCAGAAAAAAATGTCAGTCAGGCACCGGGGTTTTGTTTTTGTTTTTTCTTATCTGCTTCTCCTGTGTTAACTTTTCATCCTCAGCGGCCGTTATTAGTCTGAATGTTCAGGCACCAGGGTTTTTTTTTTTTTTTCTTATCTGCTTCTCCTGTCCACAAGCTGTGATGTCACTTATCTATGACAAGGCTCTGATTTTGTTAAGGCCCAGGTTTCCACATGTCACTTTTGTTGGTTTTTATTGATAACATGACTGTCTGTGAGGAAGGACTTGGCACCAGGTTATAGGGCAACTCAACCCAAGTAATGAAGCTTGTATGGCTGCGTACAGTATATGAATTCCTTTAATCGTGATGATCATAGCGATGAACCTCAGTGTCATGAGTCTAACTCCAGGAGTGATGATAAAAGAGTGATCATTTTCTTAAAAATGTGTGCTTGAAGGAGAAAAAAAAAATAAAATCTACATTGTTCACACAGCTGTATTTCTTGTCCCCTCTAGTCCCCCAGATACATCAACAGATCTTTTTTTTTTTCCTTTAAAGATTTAGGATCATATGTGTAAGAGCAAGTATAAAACAATAAAATCACAAAGTTTATTTTAAATTACACTTGTGTTGTGTATTTTATTGACTTTTCTGACACTGACGACTAAGCGTATTTACTAAATAATACCATTAATTAATTGATCAACGATGAAGTGATCAGATCAAATATCTTGGTACGGGATGTGTGATGTTAAGATCAAACTTACCGAGCTCTTCCTCATTGACCTGTTGAAGTAATGCTGTGAATACTAACTCTTTCTCACATGCATTTTTTATTAGAGCTCATCACACCAACACATCAGAAATGTTTGATGCCACAGCAGTCTGGGTGGGGATTTTGGTCTCAATTCACTTGGTGTGGAAGAGTTGCCTGAAGGCATGGTTTTATAAATATATTTTTCTGTTTTTTTATTTTTCAAAATGTTTTTTAGAGGTATTAAGTTATGTCCAACACATATTTCTAACCTTTCAATAATTATATATAATCAATAATCATCCACTCCCGTCATGACTGGATTTCAAACTGAGACTTAAGTAACTCTAAATAATCCCCACTGTATATGACTCTGTATCAGGGGTGTCAAAGATATGGCCCGCGGACCAAAAAAGGGCCTGCTGATTGGTCCAATCCGGCCCGCTAGATGAATTTTGAAAGTGAAAAAGTTGCACAAACAATTCATGGTTGTGATGTTTTGTCAAAATATGTTTCATTAAATGTAAAGATTTTTCTAATATACTTGAAATTATTTGCTATTTATAGGTAATTATGTTATGACTCTACTGGCCCGGCCCACTTGACATCTAACCAGACTGTATGTGGCTACCGAACTAAAATGAGTTTGACAATCGTGCTGTATGCATTTTTCATTACACAAAGTTGTGCTATGTATTTAATTTTATTTGAGTGCCCAGCCCCTGAAATGTCTGTCCAGAAAAACTCTGTCCCTCCAACATACAGTATATACTGCTCTAGTTCGAAGCTGACATTCTGACGTTATACCAAAAAAGTCAATGTTTCAGTGACATTAAAACTTGAAAGCTGCTATATTCTCTGAGGTGATTTGTCAAAATGAGTGCAGTTTAAAAAATAACAACACTCAGAATGGCAGCATATAAGAATTCCTGGTAGTTCTTTATGTGTCTCTGGAAAAGGACGTGACGGTTAAGGTTACAGGTGACACTGAAGTCAGGCAGGTGACCATATTTAATGAGGTTTCGTGTTCTCAGTCTCAGAATCTAAACTACAACTGTTTTAAAAGAAAATCTGTTTATAAAACATTTAAATCCTTGCTATAATATCAATGTGTAACCTTCCTATGTTATGGTTTCAGTTTTTGTGTTGACCAAAGTACTGGTCATATTTTCTTCCCAAAAGTTTGTGACTTTTCCTCATCAGTGGTCATGAACTGGTGTACTTTTCATACTTCTTTACTAGGGTTACAGTCTTTTTTTTTCGTCTTCTTTACTAGGGTTACAGTCTTTTTTTTTTTAAAAAAAGAAGAAGAAATATAGTGTATGTGGAAAAACCATTGTATTAGGGCTTCATGTACGAAATAAGTGTTAAGGATTGTTAAAGATAAAGTTAAGATAATGTCGCTTGTGAAAGTGAAGTATTTAAGGCCTCTTTCAATTAGTACAGTGAGTTAAAACACGATTAAAATACCTATACTGTGTGTACTACTGAGGCAAAAAAAAAATGTCGTCAAAACAAATAAATAAAACGGGACTTTTAGCCATGACGTCACACAGAGTGACACAAAGTCCCCTTAAATTATCCAATAGAAACTTGTCACGTGACAATTTGTCTGCTGGTGCTTCCGGATTGGGATTAGATCAGCGGGGAGGCTGGAAAACAATTTACAGACGTGGATACATGACAGAAAGTCAGGGGGATTCACTGAGGTCAGAGTTTTCATGCTGTTTTACGACAGGTGACCGTAAATGAATACTGTTTTCTCATTAAGTCTCATGTTTCGTGTTGCTACTTTCAAGTTTAAAGTTATTTAAAGTAGAACTTATCGTCCAAATTTGAAACTTTTACGGTTAAACTATTTTTTCAACGTCTGCTTGAAAGTATTCGTCGTATTATTTATCTTTCGAACGAAACGTAAACGAACGTTTCGAGAGCGCAAGATAAACTTTAACAACCCCCCAAAAAACAACCCACGGTTGTATTTTTGGGAGGGTATTGAAAGGTCTCTACTTTTCTATTGTTTTGTTACGAAAATAGCTACATATGTGTGAAAACCTTTGGATGTGAACAATTAGGAGACGACGTTCAAAAGGCAGATGAAATTCTCTACCGTAGTTGCCACAACAACCAGTGTACTTTGATGAGCTCACTTTTCCGCGCGTTTGGCAGAAAAACTACAAGTTAAAAAGATAAAAGGGCGAACTGCCTCAAGAAAGGTCTAAACACAAGACCTTTATCGGCACCACTATTTTCTCTTCAGGTATTGAAAATAAATACACCGTATGGATGTCATGTGACGTGGAAAAACGGTCTTTGTTGCTGTCCTGCAGCGTTTTCATGTCAACTAAGGAGCAGATTCAATAGCTATAGCTGCTGAAATATCACATATCTGTCAAAAAAAAGTGCAAACTTGTGTGTCTGTGTTTTTAGCCTCGTCCTCGTCAACACCAGTTCCTGAAAGGGGAAATACCGATGAGAGCCGTCAGCGTTTTTTAAAAATCTCCTTGACTTTTTTGTGTTGAACACTAGAGGAAGCAAAATGGATGTAATAAGGACTTTAGTCGCCACAGGGAAACCGCAGCAGATACTCAGTGAATAACACTTCCCTCTGTCAGCTGCGCCTCTTCCTGCTGCGGCTGCTGCTGCTGACTGAGCACTCCAACTGTATCCTGTCTTTGAATTTGGTCATAGTTTATAGTTATTTTGTTTTGTTCGTTTTTTTACTTTTTGAACTTCGAGGCTTTGTTGTTTCCATCTAACAGGTAAGTTGTTTATGCATGTGTTTACGAATACAAAAGTTAAGTTTAGGACAGTAGGTTAATTATAGAAACAAGATGTAATAGGAATCGATAAATGAATGCTCGTCCGGTGAATAGGAATTAGTGACATCTAAAGGTGAGACTGTATATTGTCATTAATACGGGAATATGTTCATAACAGTGTTTAGCACCAAAGCACTACTTCTCGCGATGTTTGTTGTCATGCAGAACATTCCGTTTTTCTTTCAAACTTCTTTCGAACTGTCAACTAAGCTGACCAAAAAGAGTTTAAAGTTAAAATCCGCAATCTAAAGTAGGCTAATTGTTATTTATCAATCTATCAGGTTTCTATAGTGGCAGTGTAGCACAATAATTGGTTGGAAATATATTCAGTATTCTATATTCTGTCCTTATTTTTTTTCTTCTAATGTAATTTATACTTGAATTTCCCATTTTGCTGAGAATAAATACTTAAATTACCCCAATTGTCGTGAGCACTTGCATTTTCATCATCATTCATCGCTTCGCATACATGTGACATTGTATCGTTGCTAACATCTACATTGTACAATGTAGATGTTTCAGTACCAGTGTGATGATGTGAATGCATCAGTACAATGATCCTCTTGTCTTGCTCCTGCACAGTAAGCGATGAACAGCCTCTCTCTCAGTGAGCTCTGCTGCCTCTTCTGCTGCCCTCCCTGCCCCAGTCGCATTGCATCCAAGCTAGCCTTCTTACCCCCCGAGCCCACATACACCTTCCTCCATGACCCGGATGCAGGCCCTGCTTCACCTGTGACAACAGTGGCACCGAGTCCGTGGGCATGTGGTGGGCCGTTAATGTCCGGGAGTGGAGGAACTGGCTCCATGGATGGAAGATGGAAGCTCCACCTGACGGACCGAGCAGAATTCCAATACTCGCAGAGAGAACTAGACATGATGGAGGTGTTCCTCACACGTTCCAGTAGGGGGAACAGAGTTGGCTGTATGTACATTCGCTGTATCCCAGATGCCAGGTAGGTTAATTTGGAATTGTTTCATCACCTCATCCAGCTTGACATTTGTCTAGCTGGATAGAGAATCTTTGTAAATTTGTATGAAAAAAAAAAGAACCAGACCCGATCTAAAATTTGGAGTACTTGTATTGTTCCTACCTACATTGCCAATGCCTCACAGTTTAGCAGAGTTTGGTTAACCTTGTAAATCCAGATACGCTCATTCATTTTAGTGTTATGGGTTTCCTTTTCAACCTCTGTCTCTGACCTATCCTCTTATCTGCTTCCATCTTGTGTATCCGTAGATTTACAGTGCTTTTCTCTCACGGCAATGCTGTCGACCTGGGTCAGATGTGCAGTTTCTACATTGGCCTTGGCACTCGCATCAAATGCAACATCTTCTCCTATGACTACTCAGGCTACGGCGTTAGCACTGGCAAACCCTCAGAGAAGAACCTGTATGCAGACATTGATGCTGCTTGGCATGCCCTGCGAACACGGTATGTCTTTATTTATAGCAAACAAATGTCTTTGTGAGGAAAATTGCACACTATTCAGCACAGGTGGAAGAAGTGCTGAAAAATGTAACTAAGTAAAAGTATCTTTACTTTGCTTAAATTCCACACAAATAAAAGTAAAAGCACCCATTTAAAAATCTACTCCCATAAAAGTAACAGAATTTACTACTTTGAGTAAAAGTTACTTTAAATTACTTGAATAAAAAAAGATGACCCCATACATCCAATGTGCAACTCGTTGTTTTTAACCAACATGTCTCTTAGTCAACGTTCTCCAGATACATTAAAATAGAGGGAAATCCGCTCACGCACGCTCGCGTAATTTTCTTTCAGTTAACGCGGATTGTTTTTGCCGCATTTAATTTTTCACTAAGTAACAGGTATCTTTTCAAACGTAGTAATGTGAAATACTTGAGTTAAAATGTACTTAAGTAAAAGTAAAATGACCTATTCCCGAAATGACTTAAAAATTACAAATTACTCACAAAAAGAACTCAATTACAGTAACTTGAGTAAATGTAACTCGTTACTTTTACCTCTGCTATTCAGATATGTGTGAAAACAGAAAAATAAAGAGCGATAGAAAATTGCTGGAAGGCTAATGGGTGATCAATCAAGTCTCCTGAGGACAAGGTGATATGATAAATAGCTTATTGAAGATGCTTTTACAGTTGAGTACACTTAATGAAGATTGATCACACATTAGATGGTCAATTACCATCAAGTCTTTGTTTGCTATGCATTGTTTTTTAAATGTGATCAAATAAAATACTCTAACGATCTTCTTTCTCGTTCTGTTTTCAAACCAGGTATGGCATCAGCCCAGAAAATATAATCCTGTACGGTCAGAGCATCGGAACTGTTCCCACCATCGACCTTGCGTCACGGTACGAATGCGCTGCTGTCATTCTTCATTCGCCCCTCACATCTGGAATGAGAGTCGCCTTTCCTGAGACGAGGAAGACGTATTGCTTCGATGCTTTTCCCAAGTACGTCTAAATCGCTGCATAATTTTATATATATAGATATATTTTATTTACTATTTTGACCAAATTTGGGTGAAAATGTGATTAATCAATTTATCAAATCACCACCAACAACAAATTAAATTGTTGATATTTGCTTGTCAGTAGTGTAACACTGAACTTAAAATTATGAGACTAGAGGTTTAAGTTTACAAGAATAAAGTTGTACATTTTTGAGAATAAAATTGTTAGTTTATAAGATTTAAGTTGTTAGTAGATCTGACTTTATTCTCAAACGTTTGACTTTATTCTTCTAATAGTTTGGGTTTACTCTCATAAATTTTTCATAGCATTACGATTTTAAAAAAAGCCGGAAAAAAAAATCTAATTTTATTTTTTTCATTTCTCCTGATCTGTACGACACACAAACTGCCGTAATTGTCGGATTCTTAATTTTCCGATGGTACCTGGATACACCTTGTATGACAGCTGAAACTTCGGCCTTAAAAATGTTGTCTGTGTTAACCTGGCGGTTTGCACCTGTCGTAAAGCTGTTCTGCTCCTCAAGATAGCATGCAGCCAGCTAGTGCATCTTAGTTAATCATTTTCTTATGCTAAACAAATGTAATAAGTATTGAATAGTTAATTAAAGTTAGAATTAAGGTGGTATATATTGTGTGTATATATAGATTTGTTTATACAAAAATGAAATATAATTTTACAAAACATTGTTTTATTTTTAAAATTCATCAAGTGGGCCGGTCATTTTGGCCCGTGCACCCCATGTTTGACACCCCAGTAGGTAGTGTGTTTTACTTCTAATTACTATTCTTTATACACAAAAACATAGCTAGGGCGCGCCATAAGATCCTTAAGAATTGTGAATTCAGCCTACATTTTTGTTCAATGTTTTATGAGACAGGGTGAGTCTCCTGCTCACCTGCCTCCCACCGCTGCACGTCTCTGCTCTGTGATGTAATACACGAGGGGCAGGATATACTGTAAGTTAAAGCCTCAGTGATGGTTTCATCTCAGTTTCAGGTGAGGACAGCTGATCCCGGGAAATCTGTAGATCTTTAGAGTACAATTGCTTGTCAGGTTTGCCAACAGTTCATATCTGTATTCATCTGGAAGTGTCTGTTACTCAGTGGAGAGGAGAGAAGGACAGTAGTGACCACAGACTGCTGAGCGGGTCACGTCTCTATGCAGCAAAAATAGGCAAAACTTCACGGTTTGAATCAGAAAGATTATTATCGGCGTCACTTTGCAAAAAAAAAACCCCATAATTGAAACATAAGTGTTATTGATTTCGTTATGAGTCTTTTTTATATCAGAAGTATTTTTTTAAATATATTTCATCCTTAATCAATGTAGTTTATAAGTATTTAAGTCTAGATTTTAAAATTTACACGCAACCTAGTCATTAGATAAATGGGTGGATGGATTTAGGAATTAATAAATAAAATGGCATAATCTAATATAAACACTGTTTTTTCAATGAAGAAAGAAATATTGAATTATGATACAATATACCCCATTATGTAAAGGCTAAATAACTATAGCTTGTGTAGATATATTTGCTTATACATTAAGTTTTTCACCATGCCAAACTGAAACTCAACCCCTCCGACCCTGATTGTGTCATTTCATCCTTAATTTACAGTTAAGAAAACGTCATTTTTAATTACCTACTGTAAAACCTGACGTATTTGATGGTGCAACTCCCGCAGCCCAGAGCTTCAGGAGTCCATTTGCACATCCCTAGTAAGGTGACTTTCACAGTCTCTTAAATCAAATGTTCTCTCTCTCTCTCTCTCTCTCTCTTTTTTTTTATTATTTCAGTATTGAGAAAGTGTCTAAAATCCCATCCCCCGTGCTAATTATCCACGGCACAGAAGATAAAGTCATCGACTTCTCCCATGGCCTGGCGCTGTTCGAGCGCTGCCCCAAGGCCGTGGAACCTCTGTGGGTGGAGGGAGCGGGACACAATGACATTGAGTTATACAGCCAGTATCTGGAGCGACTCCACCGCTTCATACAACAGGAGCTGGGCACACAACACACATGACAGCGTCGCGGGCATCCGCGGGAATGAACGGTTTTTCCGACGTCTCCCGTCATCTTAACTGTTTTTTTCTAAGCACAGCCCTGTGAGAAGTATTTTTTTTCATGAAGTGTTTCTGGAACACAGTGTGCCTTTAAAGGATTAATGTCACAGGGGCATGTGTTCATAGATGTCTGGAGTATGCAACTGAATACAAAGTAGAGTTTTGTTTATTTTTAATGCTGGAGATTTGTATCACTGCAGCTAATGTGTATCAAGTGACAGGAAGTACAGTGGAGGTCCTTCACTGTGCAACAAGGGCAACCTAACAGGACACTCAATAGGCAATAACGGAATATAATTGAGACCTAGATCACTTCCAGCAGTGGTGCCCAACAACCGGACTGGGGATCGGTGCCGGTCCGGAGGTCATTTGGTACTGGGCCGCAATGGGACAGAGTGAAAAATGTACTTCAGTTTTACGAATTTACTTCATACTAACAGAATAAAGTCTAAAAGATGTTTTAATGATCCTTCAACGATGGCGCGGTATTACCGGTCCGCAGTAGCGGCTGACACCGGCCGACCGGTTCTTGGTATAAAAAAGGTTGGGGACCGCTGAATTACAGTATAGTCAGATCCTTGGAAAGGTTCTGTAGTTTCTTTTTTAGCAAACCTTAACCACTAATTTACAATTTCTGGGGATGTCTAGTACCGATACTGCGACTTGGAGTATTTGCCGATACCGGTATTAATCCGATACCTTCTCTTCTCCCTCAGCATGCTGCGAGCTGCTGTGAACCTTTGGATTAAAGTATCGGATCAAACAATATGTAGGTGTTTTTTCGATGTGTGATCCTGAAATTTTGGCCAATGTTGGACTGATACAAACCAATACTTCGAGTATATTGATGGTTATTTTAAATCTCTATATGTGATTACATGTTTTTAATCAGTAATGATTACAGCAATTATTTTAAACGCAACAATATAAACATATTTTAAAAACCCACACACAAGTGATTTACACAGTGGTCAGAACGTGACACTGACTTGGTTCTACCTGTGTCTTCTCACATGTTGTTTAAGGCAGGGGCTCCAACCACTGGGTTGGGGACCAGTACTGGGCTGTGGATCACTTGGTACTAGCCTACACAGAAATAATTAAAAGTTTTTTTTATTGATTTGTTTGTTTGTTTTTTTATTATTATTTTACACATTTTGCCTAATTTTTTGCCATTGAAGGTGTTGACGTTAATTATCGTGGGCTTGCGCGATCTTGCCACCTAAAGCACGGATTTTAGGGCTAGTGTGAGTGCAGACGCTCCGCACCGAAGCAGCTGTGCATGTTTCTCACAGTCAGGTGCTGCTGCAGATACTGCGTGGTGTCTCTGAGTGAAGCAGCTCACAGTAACGACAACGTTGTGTTGATCAGAGGGCTGATTGTTTTGAAGAAAGCAGCTGTTGCAGCTGTTGTTGTCACCACATTTGCTCTATAACGCCGTATAGACAACAGTCACTGACGTTCGTGTTGGCAACCGGGCTTTAGCTCGCTCGCCTCTGGGGTTATATGAGTGGGACAAGGAAGCCCTGGTGTGAGTGCACCCTGAGGGTGCCTGTCAGTCATGTGGTTCCCATGACAATGGTTTGGTCGTAGGAAGCTGCAGTGTGTGTGTGTGTGTGTGTGTGAAGCCGGAGATAATGAGGAGCTATGAATGATCCTGGCAGTGTCATCATTTTGTGGTTAGGGGCGCTGCAATATTTATGATTGGATGCAAATATATATACAGTGGTGCTTTAAGATACAAGTTTAATCCGTTCCACAACAGCACTCGTATGTGGATCCACTCATATCAAGATTGCATTTTCCCCATTAAAAATAACTAAAAACCAAAAAATACCCCCTATTTAAACATCTAAAAAACATAGATATAAACAAATATATCCATAATATAAAATAATAATAAAGAAAACATTTTATATTATTGTTATAAAAATTGATAAAATAGAATCACATTGTAGATCAAGAGTAGGCAAACTTTTTGATTCGCGGGCGACAATTTTCCTTAACTTGAACAGGGGTCAGGAGCAGATGGATGGCGCGAACTAAGATAAATGACATGTAAAAGTCATGCATAAAGGCTAAAATGCTAAATGTGTTTATCATTTTCTACGCCATCTATTGGGGAAACGTGGCTATTGCATGGAAAAGGCAGAAGTATAATGATAATATAATTTGGAAAACTTTGGCGGGCCGGACTAAAAAGCTGAACGGGCCGCATCCGGCCCCCGGGCCTTAGGTTGCCCATGTCTGTTCTAGAGCCATGACATTGAAATATAATTTTATACAGAAGATATGGATAATTAAATGGTAACACTAAAGAGTAAATGACCGTTTGGTCATGAAGACCCCAAAAAAGCAGCACAAAACTGCACTATGTTTCGACATCCAGAGATTCAAATGGAGCATAAAAATAGAATTCTTGAATGAATTATTTCACAGACTGCAAGAAAATTCTCTACTAAAACAATTCTTTCTAGTTAGGTCTTGGCTTCACCTACTGCCGGGCCGTGCTCTCAATCTGTTAAATCAAAGCAGATTGCCTAAATTCTTCTCCCGCGCCCATTTTTCTGCCAGCTCCAAATGTCAGCAATCGAAGTATGAGTGCAATATTGCCGTTAAATTTTTGATCAACAAGTATTATACATTCTGTGTCCTCTTTTTCATATGCAGCGTCAAATCAGTAAACCGTGCTGTTAAGTGCAATTGACGTAGTAGACCCTGAGAGGGCAGTCTTTCCCCATTACTGTCAGCGTGGCAGATGCACAGCAGATGCAGCAGTTCAGAGCAGCTTTTGTTGTATTAAATATTACTATTTGAATATTTTAGAAACTCCAGGAATTAGGGCAGGGCTAGTGGGGAAAAATAGCAGAGAGTGTAACTTTTGCTGCTGGTACTGCCTGGCTCTCAAAAAGGCTGTTGGTTATTTGTTGTTTTCATTATAAAGGTATGGAAAACCCGCTCTATTTTTTTTTTTTTCAAATCAGTTTGAGCAACAGTTTTTATTTATCCCCAATGCGAGCTTTTATACTTGCTCTATTTCCTCTTTTCTTTTTAAATTTGCATCTTCCAATACCTTATCCTTTAACGCACATATCCTTTTATTTTTATTATTTTATATTATAATTGTTTATCGCACCTCGCCCTCATCTTTACACAAAACAAAAGAATCAGAAATAACGTTCAAAATGTTGCAAAACAAAACCAAAAAAAGTTATTTAAACCATGACGAATTGAAAAAGTATTTTATTAAAAAGTACTGGCTTCCAAAGGAAATCCATCACTTATATGGAGCGCACAAAGCGTTTCAAATACAGTAAAGAGTTAACCATTGGATTTCAGATGTTTTTTTAATTAAAATGACACCCTCCCCCGTTCCCCCCCAGTCTCACCCACTGCTCCTAATCGTCCTTTAATCTACTGACATGACACCCATTTCCTTCTATACATTAATCGCTGACCAGATCTGCTTGGTTTCATTTGACACCGATCGGAATCTGATTTCCGACATCCTGGAACAATTTTCCACCGTCTTATACCATGAGGTATCAGTAACATACAGCACAGCAACAAATCATCTGCGGGATGAAACCGGATACGAACCTTTGGCCTAACTATATTTTGCCCAATAGCACTTTAATATAGCAGAACTAACCGCTCATGCTGCACAATCGAGGCACTCTGTCATGCTCCAGGACCTAACAGGACACAAGATGTGGAGGACTGTCACATGATGTTAAGCATGAGGATTTATTATGCTTACATTTCATGTTTCATCAGGTCACCATCATTTGGAACTGATAAAGACATACAGTGATTTAACCCCTCGGGAAATTAAATGTTTCAAAACTGATTGGCAATTTATATTATATACTGACCAAACACAAAATGACCAAACCAGGTTGACTTATATTTGACCAAAGTAATGGTAATTTGAAGGACATTACAAAGGTTTAAATCAGGGGTGTCAAACTCATTTCCACCAGGGGGCCACATCAGCAATACAGATCAGGGGTCCCCAACCCCCGGTTTGTGCAGCAGTACCAGTCCATAGGTCATTTGGTACGGGACCGCTGTGGGACACAGTGAAAAAATGTACTTATTTTTTTTTACTAATTTACTTCATTCAAAGAAAATCCAGGATAAAGTCTAAAACTATTCAACTATTTTGAAAATCAAATAATCCTTCAATGCTCAGCACTTTGGTAGCAGTCTGTATTAACGGGTGGTACTGGCTGACCAGTCCTTGGTACTAAAAAGGTTGGGGACCACTGGTTTAGATGTAACTACTCCATAACAGACTAATACATGTTTCTACAATGAATTATTATTTATTCAAGCTACAAATATTGTTCATTTTTGTGTAAACTTTTAATAACTCTGATGCATGGACTTTAATAAATGCTTTTTAAGCTCCTGCGGGCCAAATAAAATGGCTTTGCGGGCCGCATTTGGGCCCCGGGCCTTGAGTTTGACACATGTGGTTTAAAGGTTGGTTTGACATTTGTAATTGAATACGTTTTGTGACTAATTTGTAATTTTTTAACTAGTTTCGGGAATAGGTCATTTTACACAGTACATTTTGTAAAGTATTTTACTTTGCTACATTTGAAAAGAATATTTTTTGAAAAGAGTATTTCTTAGTACATTTTTCAATGTTTAGTAACAGTTTCAAAAACAAAACACTTTTTATATTCCAATATTGAAGGCTTTAGATCTGAACTTTAAAAAAAAAAATCAATAAACAGTTTTCATTTCATTTAAGACATTACCACAGACTGACCTCCAGGGTGTGATAAAAATGCCAATAAATCAATTGTCCAATCAGATCAATACTACATACAGTATGTAAAGAGCATTTGGAACGTTAGACTCAAAGGGTCACAACGACAATTATCAAATCATTAATTACAAACTTGACAATCCAGTCATTTTGTATTGACTGTTCGACATCGCACACTTGCCTTTGTAGTAAGAAGTTATTACAGAACCAATAAAGGCATCGCACACTTGAATTTGCTAACACGTTTTTACAACGCACAAGGCTTTACTGCTACACTGCTACATCTGGTGTCGAGCCAATAATGTAGTTAGCTCATGGCTAACTGCCATTAAAGCTTGTTATTGAGGTAAAATGGCCGCTGAACGCAGCTGGTATTTGATGCACTTTAATTTAACAAGTACATCGACACTGTGCGCACTTCGCTCACGACGCTGTTGTTTAAGTACATTGTTTATGTTATAATGCTTGCATTAGTGAGGACTGTAAATGTAGGAAGGCCAACCGAGACAACACAAGGTGTGAGTTCTCACGCCCTGAGACACAAACACGTATTTGTACACAGGTACACAGACAGTGGAAGAAGGGCATTCTTGCTAAATAATTCTAGAAAAAAAATAAACGAGCCTCAGCCTTGAATAGTTCTGCCGCTTTCTCTGTCTGCCTTTGGTTCAGAATGTTCAAAATATTTACCAGTACTTTGTTAATGTGTCCTCACTTACTAATGGTGTGAAGGTGGATCAAGGCGTTCGCATTATTCTGTCTTCAAAATACATCTCTGAGTGTTTTCTTTGTAAAACACTCAGGGAACGGGAACATCAACCATCAGATGTCGGTTTTTCATCAGGAACGGGAACATCAACCATCAGATGTCAGTTTTTCTCATTTGTTAAAAGTGTTCGTTCAAAGAGCTCTTTGATGCCCTCTGGCGGGGTTTGGGGGGGGGGAAGCTAAACAGAGGGATTCAGCCCCTGTCCTCAGCACAGCAGGCGGTAGAAACTAGCTTAGCACTTTACTAGGTTGAAGCCACAACACCGCTGGATCTCTTTCACTTGCTCTTGCTTCATGGGTTAGTTGTGTGACATCATAGTGCTTGAGGAACCCCACCCTTTTGGACTGTTGTGTCGAGGTACTCTCTATCAGCAGTACCCGACCTTTTTTGTACCAAGTACCAGCCGGCCGGTATCAGCTGTGGAGCGGTAATATCGTGTTGGTCAACAATACCAAAGAACACCCTTCCAGCCATGTTCTGTGCCTTTCCTCCTGTGTGGAGTTGATCAGTGTCATCACCCTCACCTGTGTCTCTGTCGTTAGTCTCACTCCTGTCACCTGCTGCCCTTGGTATATATATCCCTCTGTCCCTCACTCTGTCTTGGTGGGATCATTGTTCTGAGTTCAGTCCTTGTCGTCCCACATCCCTGAGCTACTGTTTGTTTCGGCGTCTCCTGAGAATCCAGTAAGTGGACGTATTTAAGATTGGTCATCTGAATAAACTTCCTGCTCCTGTCGTGCTGCATTTGGGTCCTGCTTCCTCTCAAGCAACAACGTAACAGTTATAAAAGAATACAACTATATATTATTGTCCTAATGTTACAAAAACCTATTTAAAAAGAGGAACTTTTTATAGTAACAAAACAGTAGTAGTATGACAAAGGACAAACTTGTTTAGGTTTTTAAAATAAAATAAAATCATAGAACATATCGTAAAGTTCAACTGCACTGGATTCACAAATGTGGATACAATAAAAATCAGGGGTGTCAAAGATGTCCCCCTTATTTCATGGAAAAAAGTACATCAGATAAATCTTCATATTTAATGAAAAAAAGTTTAACAACAAAATTCCTGAACATGAAGTCTTTTTTTTTTATTCATCAAGTGGGCCAGTTTTGGTCCATGGGCCTTATGTTTGACACCCCTGATATAATTAATGTTCTAGCGCATCCCCATTACATTATTATAATCATCAGGGCATTGAAATGGTTCCACAAGCAACACAAACTATCATCATTCATCACAGTATTATTGCAAATTTTCCAGTAAACTTACAACTTGTGTTTTTCTGATATTCCGTCTTGTACGTTATTTTTTGTCCACGTGGCCCTAATATTTACATTACTTCAGAGATGAATTATTCATCCGTCAATGTTAAAAGTGGCTCGGAGTATTTAAATAGAGATGAGCAGTAGGTGTAACTCTTGAACTGACACTTCACTCTTGTCTATTCACCCTGCTGTTTGTTATTAATCTTTCCCCTTATTGGTCACAGACCTTGATTTAGTGTGACGATGAGACAGCAACAGTTATGAAGCCTGAAGGCCTATTAAATTTGTATGAGACTAAACGCTTCTTTTGTTGTGTCATTTAGATGAATACGGTTTAAATGCAGAATGATTTTTTTTAAACCCCCTGAATGAATCCATATATTTAAAATTTGTTCAGGGGTTCGCTGAGTTATTTAATGGCTTTAAAGTGAAAAAGAATTTTAGGAATTGGGATTGGATGATGTCATTTTTATAAATATACATATTATAATATTTTCTGGTTTTTTTTGTGTTTAAATAAATTATACATATTATAATATTTTCTGGTTTTTGTGTTTAAATAAATAAATTGAAACTGGATTGAAATTGAATAAGGGATGATGCAAAGATAAATAAGGATAAAAAAAATAACATTTTGTTCACTTGACTATCTCGTTATAATATCGGTCGCCAACCAAAAATAATCTGAATTGAAAGTAAAATGTAATTGCTCACTGTCAGATATAACATTTTCATTAAATATAAACATAATAATGTCTTTACTAATTACTTTAACTGCGTCCGACCACTAATTTAAAGATGAACCGCTTACAAAAGCCAGATTCCTGAGGAATGTATCTTTTATCCTTTGAGTTACATTACTGCAGGCTACTGGGTGTGTATTTCAACAGATTTTTTTAAAATTTGAATTCAGAAACAGAGTGCAGCGTTTCTGCTGATAAAATTAAAAACAATAAATGTAAAAAAAATGTCTTTAGTGAGCCTTTAAAACCACGGAGAACTAGGACATCATCTTCAATGGGTTTTGATGGATTATAAGTCATTAATGAATTCCATTCCAGTAACTGTCTAATTCTGCTTCCGGTTTTGGCACTAACAGGTTTTCCTTGTAGTGGATGACAGCAGGGAGCAGTAGTGGAGATGCTGTAGGAACTCCAACCACCGCTAGAAGACAAACCGTGATTGAACCTCCCACCCTCAGTGAGAGGCAGCTGCCCGTGGTAGAAGAGGAACTATCACCCAGTACAAAGCGACGAACAGGAACTATTTGCCCCGTGCCCAGCTTTCCTTCTTGCTGTAGCGTTAACAGAGTGAGGAGAAGGCAGACCGAAGGAGTCAAGAAAAGGGGGGACAGAGAAAGAGAGGGAGGGAGAGAGAGTGTGTGTGTGTGAGAGAGAGAGAGAGAGAGAGGGAGGGAGAGACGAGCTGGAAGACGCAGTAATGACAGAGCAGCAGCTGAAAAATAGAACAACTCTTGTGCAGGAGCGGAACATTGATAAGGCAACTGGCTGACCCAGCGACAGATGTGATTTCCAAAAACCGTTGTGACCGGTTCGGTGCCAGCAGGGAGCTGGACGTGTGATAACAACGCGCTCTCTTCACCACAACACTCCCCGCCGGCAGCCTCAGCTTCTCCCCGGGACTGGAGGACATCAGCACGGCTGTCGGTGAGGCGGCGCTGCTGCGCACAGCCGTGCCATGTGTCACTGCGCGGCATAGAAGCTCTTTGTGGGGCTGCCGTACACACCGGGGACAGGTGCTGCCGCGTACGCCTGTGTTCAAGTATGGGTGTGTGTTAGAACTGGCCCGGGTACACGGACACGGAGACACGCACGCACACGCACACCCCCTCAGACAGTTGTCTAAAGGATGTCAGGCCGACGTACGGGAGCAGTTTTGTCCTGAGACAGGTGCGACAGGGCGGAGTAGTTTACGAAGCCTGACGCGGGATTTGGGGACGCGCAGAACAACCTTCTCCCTTTCGTCAGGTCATCCTTGGATTTTTCTGACATTGTTTCCACTGGGACACGCTGCTCACGCACTCACATAGTCCGTGTTTGGGCTCCACCATTTCCTCCACGACAGTCTGAGGTAAGTGGACCCCGCTGCCCGGTGTTGGTGGTTCGGCTCTGAGCTCAGGGTTCTGCCCAGCCTCCAGCACCGCTGTGTACTCTGACTCTTGCCTTATTTATTGCACGACTTTATTTTAGCTGTAACGATAGGTTAGTTTGATCTGGTCATTTCAGGAGGATGGCTGAGACCTCATGAATTGTCCTAAAATAAAAATAAATTCAAACTACTTACTTCTAATAACAAATACGTATATAGACTAATTACCTAAATAATTATTGCAGAGATTAACACGTTATGTAATATTACAGTAATGAGGGGTGGGACAGTGTTTGACACTTATTATCTGCATTGCTTTAAATTGAGAGTATAATATTCCTAAGAACATGAGGTGCTTGTAATTTGTAATCATTTCATATTAGTGCTTGTATGTTTACTCCCGCTGCACATGGTTGCTGCCCATATCAAGTACAGGTATGTATACAAACAAAAGGAGGTACTAGATCACAGGCATTAGTTTAATCCAGCCAAAGCGTGACACCACTGGAGTGTAGTAACCCAGAGCCTGTACAGCGGTTTTCATGCTGTGCAGCCTCGTTTTAATCTTCATACTGCGCATAGCTCACAGCCGTGTACACAGGAGCATTAGGACACTTTAACAGTAGTACTGTCTCCATGTACAGTACTGCATCCAGCCTTCTGTTGACTGGACGGTTCAGATTTATGATGTACGGATCGACAGCTGTTATGTATCGATCATGAACTGATGGTTTGATAAAGAGCATCAGGTTAGCACTAACACTGTTGCCCCGATACCACCTCAGTGTCACGCACCCATTTTCTGTGAGCACAGTGGAAGAGCTGAAATTCCCTTCCTTGTTTTTCCTTTTCACAATTACAATGACCTAAATCTTATAATTAGGGATGTCGGATAATAATAATATCGACTGACCGATATTATTCGCGATATGATATTCGCGTAATTTTGTGATATCTGTAAGAGTCGTTATCGTTTTTTTTTTTCTCCAATAATGAAAACCCGATAATCAAATACTTGGGTTTTTGCCTTACAGTATATGCTGGAATCGCTTGTAGGTTGCATATATCGGTATAGGTTGATATCAGAAATTAAGTGTTTGGACAGTATCGGATATCAGCAAAAAGTAAATATCGGACATCCCTACTTATAATTACTCTTGCTTCTTGGTTTAAAGCCACAAACTATTTTTCATGCCTTCCTTTTTTAGAGATTTCTCTCTCAGCTTGTGGATAGACGGATGGACAGATGGGTACTTTATTTTCTGAGCTAAAGGGGGAACACAAATTATACCATAAAGGAAAAAGAATAGAAAACTATTACTGGGTCAACACAGGCTGTTTTTTTTCAAATGGAACGCCACGGAGTCTCCCAAAGTCTCTCTCTAAGGCCGCGCTATGTTATTGTTGTGGTCCTCGTTTCAGATTCACGGGCAGACTTTCAGTCCCTGTTTTTCTCCAATACCAAGGTTTGTGGACTGTCAACGGCAAAAAAGTGAAGTCACCAAAGTTCAGGGAGTTTGTATCAGGAGCCCATGCGTTGTGTGGGAGCTATAGGGGAGACGTCTGAGTTGAGCGAGACACGTCTAGAGAAAGTGAGACAGTTCTTTTTATCTGGTGTGAAAAAGAAAAGATTCAGCCAAAAGAATACCAGCACCTTCTCTGAACTTGCTGTCATTCACGCAATGTCAAGTCTGCCTTGCAGGCCAAGAACCTCTTTAATTCCACTTGCCTGGGTGCTGTCACCTTCTTGACAACCGGCGTTTGAGAGATTCTGTAACAAGATTAGAGGTAAAAATCTGCAGTCCTTGTTAGTGCTCCGTGGGATTTTAATGTCATCTTGTTGACGGTGTTACGATGGTGACACCTTGCATTTAAAATTCAGCTCACTGCGTTGACCTTTGGCCTCGGCGGTACGTGTTTCATACGGCTACGGGTATATTTATGTCTTGAAATAGAACGAGTTGAAATGCAGACTAAGGTAATGATTGGAACAGCGGGTTTGGTATGTATGAATGTACGTGCAGCTCGAGTGTGGAGAGGCATTTACAAGAATAGTAAATCCTTCCTCTCTGATGTTGAGTGCTACACCAGGGGGCAATGTTCTGCACCAGTCTTTGGTTTGGAGTTTATCTACAGTGGGAGGCGGGGGGGATGCAGTGCAGTGGGTTATGATGGAGAAAAAGCAGCAGCAGGAGAAAAATAATAATAACACGAAAAACATAAAGTGAAGTCTTTGAATGCTGTTGCTTTTGTCTGTTTGTCAAAGGAGGCCAAGTGCCTTTCACATGCGGTGACATCCTCTGATACAAGCTGTCACATCAGCAGTAATTACAAGAGAAATACTATCTGAGGGAATACATTAACCATCTTAAGACAGAACCGGGAACACTTGTATGATACGATCTCTGATTGTGTTCTCTCGGCCTGGTTTCTATTTGTTAAGGATCAAATAATAATAATAAAAAAATCCTGTGATAATAGACTTCAGGATTACAACATCACTCTTTTGTTGGCACTTTTGTTGGCAGTTTTGTTGGCACTTCGGGAAAACAAAGGAGTCGTTTGCGACACAGAGGAACCCCAACTATCAAATAATAGTTATTTATTATGAGTATTTCTTTTTTTCAAAAATGTTTTTTTGACAGAATCCAATATTTTTGGGTGCTATCAAATTAATCCATAGTACACCGTAAATGTGTTTAACTTCTGAATGTTTTTTTTCAGTCAGTATTTATATCACCGATCTATAGGAGGCACTGCTCCTGCCAAGAGAAATGACTCAGTAGGGGGCAAGATTGCACCGAGAATTACGTAAGACAAACAAGAGGAAAGCAATCGAAGGAAGCTGGGCAGCTGACGTCAGTGCTTTCTATTCCTCGCATTGCATCATGTTGTTATTCTACACTCTGGTTTTATAGTTTTTCTTTCATATTACATGTTTGATCTCTCTTTTTCTACTGGACAGTTGCCACCTAGTAGAGACTGTGGCTACGGGATGTTGTTTGGTTTGTGCTGTATTTAAATGAATGAATGAATAAATCATAATCATTTTCATAATTAGGTTTGTTTAAAAAAAAAACAAAAAACGCAAGCGTTTTAGCAGAAAAGATAGCAACATGGGATTCTTCAGAGAATTCCAGGTTGCTGCGAACCACAGTGTAAATAACCATTCTCATGGGAACCACACTTGTACCAATGCAGCCTAATGGGCACATTGGTCATTATCTAGTTCAGGGATTCCCAAAGCGTGGTGCGGGCACCCCGAGGGGGTGCACGGGCTGCCACTAGAGGGTGTGTGAGATAGAAAATGTTTGTAAAAAAGATTTTGGGGTGTTTTTAAGTGGGATTTTTCTACACAATGATGTGTAAATAAACATTTCCCTTGTAAAAATTTAGACAAAAAAAAAACGACATTTTAGTAGTAAATAAATGACGCTGCCTTTATAAGAAAGCTTGTTATTTTTAAAAAAAAATTTTCTGCCTTTATAAGAAAGCTTGTTATTTTAAAAAAAAAAATTTCAAAGGTGTGTGGAATTAGTGGTACGTCAACCCAGTTGGGATATAGGAGGTTCTGTGACTCAAAAAAAATTTGGGAACAGCTGATCTAGTTCATCTGGATTCCAGCTGGAATTTAGTAAAAGTGTGTAGAAATGCCATCATCTTGGTTCTATATAAAACTCAGTAGAGCAACAAAATCATTTACTTCAATTCAGAATTTTCTGACCAAGTGAGACTGTTTCACACATTTTTGGCACCATTTCCATTCTTATTCCATTTCTCTTGGAACCAGGCGCGTTGATTAAATGTACTATTATTGCCTGGGAGGATATTTGTGCAATTTACAATATCACCACACCGATAAGTGAATACCTCGGAGGAGAAAAAATCGGTACAAACAAAACGTCCTAGCGTACGAGAGAGGTTTTTAGTTCGAAAGACAGAACCCAGATAACAAGGCTAAGTGTCTCTATAGAAAACACACAGGAAGTTAGCATTCTAAGCTCTTAGTGCTGACAGTTTGTCCTCCATCACCACTGCTTCTTCTCACAGCTTTTACAAACTGCTCACTGAAGCTTAACTAATCCTTGGCTAGCGGTACCCAGTAATTTATTACAAAGTTAGTTAATTTGTGGAGATCTGCACTGACTGTTTGCCAGATCTTCACTCTGAAGTTAGAGCTGCCATTTGCAAGTGTTTGTTTTGAGGCATTTCGCAACGTTTTGGAAGAAACGAATAATAGGCCAATTTGCTCATCATATTGTTTGCCTTCCTCTTTACCTTTTGAGCATTCCGTGTGAATCAGATTATTATGAGAGCCAGTAAGTATGCCTTTCTGTGATTCTGAGCTTTTCGGCGTCGTTACAATGAACTCCCTGTTTGTGATTCGCTTGTAACGCCGACAGCCGCACTGCAGCCTTCGCCTCGGAGCGAGTGTGACACCCCATGTGCTGAAATAACAGGTGCCTTCACAGTGACTTAATCCTTCTTTCTCACCTCCCCGCCGCAGCCTGCCAAGGCTTTGCATCACCTGTGGAGCTGAAATTCACAGATTAGAGAGACAAATGTCGATTTTTCAGAGAGAAGGATGAAGGCCTACTTCAGCAACTTAGACTTATGGCTTCAAAGAGGCCTTAAGCAGGTTGAAGGAGTGCCACCTTTGGCTGTGTTGCCTTGTGTGTAAACCTGTAAATATGTGAAAGTTTAATTCAGGGGTGTCAAACTCATTTCCACCAGGGGGCCACATCAGCAGTACAGTTCCTGTTGAAGGGCCGGTTTTAAATGGAACTCTGTATAGATTAGGGGGCCCCAAACCCTGGTTCGTGGACCAGTACCAGTACCAGTCCTTGCCCGCAGTGGACACAGTGAAAAAATTAAAAAATTCTAATTTCCTTCATTCAAAAAAAAAATTCCACTTACTTTCTTTATTTGACGATAATCTGGCAATATTTTAAAATAAAAGTCATTCAGACTTTGATACAAAC